AAAGCTATATTTCCATAGAGAAATGTCAAATCATTAACAGTGGTTATTTTGGGGGCTTGGTTTGGTGGCATTCCCTTTTGTCTTTATATATATATATATATATATATATATATATATATAGCTAATATATAAATTAACTACACAATATGTATGTAATTATGAACTGTATAATGACATTTTGGGCAATAACAGATCATATATATGACAGTGTTCTGTGTTAGCTTAAGGGAAGAAGGGTTTATTTTGGCTCTCAGTTTCAAAGGGCTCAGTCCATCATGGAAGGGAGGGTGTGGTAGAGCAAGGCTATTTACATCACTGTGACCGGGAAGCAGAGAAAGGGAATATAGGAAGGAGACAGGGCAAGATACAGTATAGCCTCTAAGGATACAATTAAATAGCAAGGCCAATGACCTACTTCCTCTAACAAGGCCCCACCTCCTACATTTGACCACTTCCCAAAGTACTCATCAAGAGATTAATCCATTCATCAGGTCAGAGCCTTCATGGTCTAATTGTCTCTGAAAATGTTCTCAGAGATACACCCAGAGGTGTGTTTTTACTAATCTCCTAGGCATTTCTCAATATAATCAAGTTAATAATTAAGATTCACCATCACAAGTCTGCTCCTTGTCAATGTGACACCTAAACGTCTCCTTATACCATACCACTCTATCCCCAAGCCCCAAAGGTTCATGGCTCTCTCATCAGGCAAAATGTTAGTCCATCTCCAACAACCCCTAAACTCCTAATAGTTCCAGCATTGTTCAAGGTCCAAATTCATAGTCATCTCTGAGACTCTTAGCTGTGAGCCTCCAGATTAGTTAAAGTCCTGTTATTCTATGTTCTCTTTGCACAATTTAATTCTCCTTTCTGAATACTGATTACACATGTATTAATTTAATGTCTGTCTTCTCAACAGACTCCAAGGGCAGAGTCCACATCTGTCTTGTTCCCATTACACCCAGAGCCTTAGAAAGGAGTCTTTTAAATGTGTTTGATGAATGAACTTGACTTTAAAAAATAAACTTGAAGTGATTTGACTTAGCAAATTCTACCTTCAAAACTTCTATATTGGATGACACATGACATTCATCTTTATTTCCCAAGTCTCTTGTAGTCATAAGATACAGTAAATCTTTTAAAATTAATTCTTTTTTTTTATTATTCATATGTGCATACAATGTTTGGGTCATTTCTCCCCCCTTCCCCCACCCCCTCTCTTACTCTCCCACCCCCTCGATACCCGGCAGAAACTATTTTGCCCTTCTCTCTAATTTTGTTGAAGAGAGAGTATAAGCAATAATAGGAAGGAACAAGGGTTTTGCTGGTTGAGATAAGGATAGCTATACAGGGAGTTGACTCACATTGATTTCCTGTGCGTGTGTGTTACCTTCTAGGTTAATTCTTTTTGATCTAACCTTTTCTCTAGTTCCTGGTCCCCTTCTCCTATTGGCCTCAGTTGCTTTAAGGTATCTGCTTTAGTTTCTCTGCGTTGAGGGCAACAAATGCTATCTCGTTTTTCAGGTGTCTTACCTATCTTCATACCTCCCTTATATGTTCTCGTTTTATCATGTGATTAAAGTCCAATCCCCTTGTTGTGTTTGCCCTTGATCTAATGTCCGCATATGAGGGAGAACATACAATTTTTGGTTTTTTGGGCCAGGCTAAGCTCACTCAGAATGATGTTCTCCAATTCCATCCATTTACCAGCGAATGATAACATTTTGTTCTTCTTCATGGCTGCATAAAATTCCCTTGTGTATAAATACCACATTTTCTTAATCCATTCATCAGTAGTGGGGCATCTTGGCTGTTCCCATAACTTGGCTATTGTGAATAGTGCCGCAATAAACATGGGTGTGCAGGTGCCTCTGGAGTAACCTGTGTCAAGTCTATTGGGTATATCCCCAAGAGTGGTATTGCTGGATCATATGGTAGATCAATGTTAGGCTTTTTAAGTAGCCTCCAAATTTTTTTCCAGCATGGTTGTACTAGTTTACATTCCCACCAGCAGTGTAAGAGGGTTCCTTTTTCCCCCCGCATCCTCTCCAACACCTGTTGTTAGTGGTGTTGGTAATGATGGCTATTCTAACAGGGGTGAGGTAGAACCTTAGTGTGGTTTTAATTTGCATTTCCTTTATTGCTAGAGATGGTGAACATTTTTTCATGTGTTTTTTGGCCATTTGAATTTCTTCTTTTGAGAAAGTTCTGTTTAGTTCACTTGCCCATTTCTTTATTGGTTCATTAATTTTGGGAGATTAAAGTTAATTCTTTAACCAGAAAAGCCTAAGTCATGGCCAGGTCCTATTTTATGCTGAAAAAAATGTTACAGTCACTCTACTGGTTTACACACTGAGTTTCTAAATAAGTTTTCTGAAGATTTTGAAGGGTAAGAAAACAGATCTGGAGGAAGTCTTGACCAGGAAGACACCACCTTGCCTCTACATCTTCATTTTTTTTTTCTCTTCCATACATAAATCCTTAAATCTCTTAGTTTTCTTACTGTGCCAGGGTGACATCCTGGGACCCAGTGTTCAGGGCAGTCATGCCTGGAACACAGCTTTTGGCCTCACAGCTCCTTCTCCAGTGCACAGTGGGAGAGACTCTCTGTTATTTGAAGTAATTTTAAACAAGATTAACCCAAGAGTAAACCTGACCCAGACATTTTGTGAGCCTTGGTGTAGGGGCCTCTTTCATCTGAGGAGAGGCTGCAAAATAAGTCCTGAGTCAAAGTGATTTTCAGAGTCGACTATGAAGGACTGTTCATTTGAAACAGTTGTTTCAGAAAGGGGGCTGTGAGTACACTGTACTTGACAAGGCCAGGCAGGGCCCTTCTCCTGAGTTCATTTTTACAGATTTGGCTCTGCATTAACAGAAACATGAACATATGACTAAAGGTAGTATATAGGGTGCTGAGAGCATCAAAGCCATTGAGGATCACACCCCTTTCACTTTGCTCATTACTTTCAACCAGTCCTCTATACCATGTGGCCCAAATGGTGGCTACAGTCTGGCCACCTTATCTACACTGAGCCAGAAGGGAGGATGACTGGTGGAAACTGTTTGTTGCTATTTTTTAAAATGACACCAAAAGGTACAAATGAAGTAGAGTGTGATGACTTGATGCCTGCATACTTTACATAATAAGCAAGCCAGGGTAACTAGCATATCTATCGCTTGGTATAGTCATCATTTCTTTGGGGTGAGAACATTAAAGATATTTCTTCTAGTTATCTTGAATACACAATACGTTATTGTTAACTATAGTCATCTTTTTGGGCAATTAGAATAGTCATATTTATCCCTTCTAACTACTTGTAACTTTGCACTTGACCACCCGTTTCCCTTCCCACCTTTCCCTCTTACCCTTCACTCCCTCATCTCTGGAAAACACTATTGTATGCTCTACTTCTACATAGTCAACATTTTTTATTTTCCACATGAGTGAGATTATACAGTGTCTGGCTCATTTGCTTAACACGATGTCCTCTACTTCCACCCATGCTGTTGGAAATGGCAGAGTTTCATGAAGTTAGTCCATCTCTGAGACCCTCCAAAGTCTTAATAGTTTCAACACTGTTCAAAATCCATTTCTTGTGGCTAAACAGTATTCCATTGTGTACTCACCACATTTTCAGAATCTATTCATCCACTGTTGGATATTTAGGTTGATTCCAAATCTTGGCTAGTGTAAACAATACTGAAATAAACATAAGCGTGCAGCTATCTCTGTTACATGCTGGTTCTTTTGTCTTTGTATGGGGTTATGGAGACCTTCAAGCCTCCATTTAAGGAATTTCCCAGGAAGATCACGCATTTCCACTTGCATTATATTAGTCAAAATTTTGTCACGTGGCTATTCCCAGTTACAAGGGAGGGTGGGAAATGTGGCCTTTGTGAGGGTTAGCCATAAGCCCTGTTGAGAGTCAGAGGTTCTATTATTGGGGAAGCGGGGAGGACAGATTGATCTTGGGAAGAAACAAGCAGCATCTGCCACAGAGAGTGTATTTCGAAGAGCAAGGGTTTGGAATCAGTAGTCTTGGGTCAGTTCTTGCTTAGTAGCTATAACGTCTTGGCCAAGCATTTTAATCTTTGCTATCTTCTAATATATCATTTGTAAAACTGGCCTGATATTCAATACATGAGAAATGAGAGAAAAAAATGTTCAATATTTGTACAGTGGCTGTTACTGTTAAAATAATACCTACATCAGCATCTTGAATTTCATTTTATTATTCAAATATGTAGTATTGGTTAGACATGGAGTATTTAGTTCCCACTTCTTTTACATCCTTACTAGACAGTTTGTGAGTCTGGCAGGGGCCAGTACAACTGGGGACATGACACAGGGATGTGTGTCTAAAGAGAACAAAGCAACTTGGCTGATGTTTGTACAACTTTCATGCTACCAAACTTGAGGGTGGAATTAGAAGTGAAGCTGCAGGAAACATCTGTGCTTCAGAAACAAGTGAAGGAGAGAACCATGTAGAAGTAAGAAGAGCTTTGGGGGGAAAGCTTCTGGTCAGGTACAGAGCTAACAGGAAAATCTCAGATCCATGGCTCCCCACCACTAGGGGGAGCTGAGACTGTAGTTCTGAGCCCTTGGACTCTGGTTCCCTACTTGTGAAGGAGAACTTCTACAGTGTTCTTAGTATCAATCCTTCCCTGGACAATGAAGAGCCATATGGGCTTACTGTGAATCATTCATAAGGAAACAGGGGGTGGGGAGGTGGGAGGAATGGTGGTTCAGATTTTGTTCTATTCAGATTTACTTCCCACTTCCTTGTCCCTGGGAGACTTTCAGTAATAAATCTTCCCTGGTGCTTTCTGAGAGTAGTTACTGTGAGGCCATGGGGGCTGGGAACAAGACCAAGCCTCTATCCTGAAGGTTGTCACAACCCATGGGGAGCCAGACAAGGAGCAGGCATGGTAGGTGTCACGATTTCTCCCACTTCTTTACCCTCCCAGAATAATTATTTTTCCCACCCTCCTGATGGCAGGTTTGACCCTGTGACTTGCGAGGCTAATGGAATGTGGGCTGACAAGACGGAGTAGATCGTGAGCATGGCCTTGTGTGATTTTTGTGCCCACTGTTTGTATTTTTGCCATTCCATGAGAAGACCATCTCCCAGGATGTTTAGTGGTCCAAGGAGGATGAGAGACACATGGAGCAGACTTGGAATCCACCTACATCTTGGAGTCAAGATTTACTCAGCCCAGTCTAGGTTATCCAGCCTCTGTCTGACACAGACTCGTGAGCAAAAGTAAAGGATTGCTTTATGCCATCAGGTTTGGGGATGGTTCACTAGCTGCATTCTTGTGGCAATGGTTGGCTGGTATAACCATCAGTTTTGATACAGTGTGAGAAGGGCCACAGTGAGTTACAGAAGACATCTTATACATGAGTCTTGGGAGAGGAATGCTTCAGGAACTTGTATGGGACATTCACTTTTTGCTGCTTTCTCCCTTGGGATGCTTTAGATAAGAGAACTAGCATCATGTATAATCTTTAAGTGTATGTCAGAATTATATATAAAATAAGAGTTAATTTGTTGAGAATATAGCTGCCCTTTAGTATCTATGAGGGATTGGCTTAAGTACACAAAAATCTGAGGATGCTAAAACTCTTTATCTAAAGTAGCATAGTAAACTGGGTGTGGTGGTACACACCTATAATCCCAGCTACTCAAGAAGTGGAAGCAGGAGGATTACAAGTTGGAGACCAACCTGGGCAAAATTAGTAAGAGCCTAAATCAAAAGCAACACCAATGAAAATGACAACAAAAGGGCTGGGGGTTTGCTTAGCATGCTCAAAGCCCTGGATTCATTCCTCAGTACTGCAAAAAAAAAAAAAGCATAATATTAGTTTAGAACCTATATCCATATATCTATGCACATCTTCCTGTATGGTTTAAGCCATCTGTAGCTTACTTATTATACCTAATGCAATGGGAAAACTATGTAAATAGTTGTTGTACTGTTTTGTTTAGGGAATAATGACCAGAAAAATGTCTTACATGTATAGTAGAGATGCTGAGATCCAATTTAGAAAGGCCCAATTTCTCAACCATGTCTTCTGTTTTTAACAAGAAGTACTTTGGAAATGGGCCTTTAAACTATAATACCATTCTCTAGTTTAGTCTATTCTATGAAAGGGTGGGTAAGTGGGTAGAAATACCCAGTCCTTATGAAATTATATCAGAGCCCTGTAGTGAGAAACTTCTGTCAGGTCTGTGAAACTGTAGTTTCCAGCCTCCAAGCCCCTGAGATGTACAGACTCTGCCCCAGACATCCCGACTGATTCCTGCTTCCAAAAGGTGTCTTGCCAGCAGCCTTAATCCTTTCCCTCAGCATCCTGCACCTCTCACACAGACGATTGTGTCTTTAGAGGAAGCACAACTGTGCCTTTTCCTAAAGGTCCCCTTTTCTGGTGACACTGAGCAAAAACAAAACTATCTAGACAGAATTTCCATTCACATGATTTTTAGGCAACTGATCTCCAAGAGGTACACACAGTGGTCTGCATGCAGGTTGTACGTTACAGTCACCGGGGACACATAAATAATACCGATTTTGGGCCCCCTCTCTGCAGATGCAATTGGCTGGGGCATTCAGTAGTTTTTGAAGGCTTCCAGGTGATTTTGGTGTGCAGCACGGCTGAGAACCATTGGAGTCCAAATGGGAAGTCCCTGAGACCACCTTAAGTGAACGAGAATTTGGTATTTAACTGTCTCCTATCTAAATGTGGATTAAGCAGGTACATTTATGAATGTCAAATCCTGGTTAGCCTTTATGTGAAGTCACAAAAGGCTGAAGGGCTAGCACCTCTGTGAACTGTTCCATGTGTTTCACTAGTACCACCTTAGAAAAACATAATAGACTGTGCTTCTGAATACAAAGATTTGACTAATAAGTTGTATTTTCCTGAAGGTTTTTCATTTTGAGACATTTCTTCCTTTTTGACCTCTCCCCAGACCATCTACCCTGTCAATCCCATCTCTAATGATACTGAGCTTAGGAATCCGTTCCTGCCTTGGGAAGTGCCAAATGGAGAAGTAGGAATTATCAGAATTCAAGTCCCCTTTCCAATAATGGATATGGTCCAAAGTAAGAAGAGGTTGGGAGCTTCTCAGAGAATCCTGAGTGACTCAGGGATGGGTTCCTTAAGTTAAGACTACTATGTTAACTTGGAGGGAAGCTATTGCAGCCCTAACCCATTGCTGCACCTCTGATGGAAAGGGATGAACTCTTGAGAAGACTGCTGAGGTAGTGACAGATTAACGTTCAACATCCCAGGAAATAATGTTCAGTGATCTGGAATGGTCCTCCATATGGGTCACATCTGGGACCCTGAGAATTCCATCCATAGGGCTAGAATGCAATATCTTATAACCTGTATTTCTGAAGGAATGAAGAGAGGTTTAGCCACATCTGTTAATTGTGATAAGGTTAAGGAGGTAACCCAAGAAAAGGACGAAAATCCTGCAGAATTCTTGAACCCCTTATCAAGGGCCTTCTGAAATTACATCAACACCGATCTAGAATCAGTAGAAGGAAGAACCATATGGTTATGCATTTCATGACACAAGGTAAACTACCTATCTGAGAGAAGTTACAAAAGCTTGAGACAGGATCTCAGACACTGCACCTTGGTAGAGGAAGTCTTCAAGGTCTGTAACAATAGAAATGGGAAAGAGGAGGCCAAGAAGGGGAGGAGATGAGAGAAAATGACACAGCTTTTGGCACCCCTAAGGTTATTTAAGGGCTCACAAGGCCCCTGAAGATATAAAGCCAACTTGCAGTAGGATCCAAGATACCTGGGTCAGAGCCAGTATGCATACTGCTGGAAGGAAGAACTGCTCTGAACATCCCAGAGAGGCTAGCCAAGTGGCATCTCACATAGAGCCCAAAGTCAAGCATGGCCCTCTGAGGGGTAAAGTCAAGGCACCTGGACTGAAGAGACTTGAGGCTCCTTCCATCTCACTGTGCCCCAAAACATCACATCAGTAGAATCTTGAGTAACCCTTATGTGACAGATAGGAAAACAGAATTTCATTGGACACTGATTTGCCTACTCTGTCCCAATTCAAACTGTTGTTCTTCTTTCTAATGTCAACTGCACAATGACAGGTGTAAACAGGCAGCCTAAGGTAAGGCTTACTTTTCCCCTCAGTTGTGAGCCTTCCTGTATGTTACACTGGATGCCTGTATTTTCCCTAAAGGGAGAACAGATACAGGTTTATGTAGATCCAGAGCAAGGGATCTACTTGTCTTCCTTGATAGTCCTGATTCTAACCTCCAACACATTCCTGATGGCCCATTAAAATACAGCTCCAGCCTGAAACTGATTGTTAACCAGATTTCTTGAGCAAGGACTTGTTAGACTTGTCAGTCCCCTGTCCAGTAAAGAAATCTAATGGGGAGTACTGCCCAGGTTCCTAAGGCCCAATATTTATCTAAAACTTCCATTCTGAACATTGCTGTCCGTTCAGACCACAATACCTATTTTCCTTCTAATGGCATGATCCTAACCTGCAGGAAGCTACTGTGTTTCCTCAGGGACATTGGGCAATGTTTTGGCTACAGAACTGAGAGAACTGACATTAAGAGATAGGACATGGTCACAATACCTGGATGACTCATCCATTGCTAGCACCACTTACCAAGATTCAGAGGGCAGTCCTGTGTGATCCCCCCAACTATGCTGACCTAATAGTCATGCAGAGTTTTTAGCCTATACGCTTAGAGAGGAATCAGACCCACAGAGGCCTCTAGAGTAGTCAGCCAGAGATTTCTATGTCCTTGATCAGCAGGAAAGAGCTGTAGAAACAGACCTTCACTCTGACCACTCCTGGGGTGATGATAGTGAGCATCTGAGACTATATAAGCTTTCCTCCTCGTTCCTTGGAGCCTTCCCTGTGTGTGGACCCTCCCTGTCTCCCTATGCTTGAGCATAAGCCCCAGTAAAGCCTTATCTGAATCGCTTGCCTCTTCACGATTTCTATCTTGAATTGAGCAAAAGGACCCAAGGCTGGGAAAGTAGAGTAGCTTCCTGTGAGATGGGATCACACCATTGGAAGACAAACAGGTAGCATTAAGATCTGGGTTGATCAGTAACCATGCAGTGAAATTTGTTTTGAATATTTTTTGTTCTTGGTAGCTTGAATCTGCAGATGAAGAAACACTGGATATAGAGGGTGAACTGTACAGAGAAAGCTCTCTGAAACACGAGGGTTTCTTGGTTTCTAGCGATTCATTCGCTAGAATGAATCTCTCTCTTTTTTTTTTTTTTTTGGTTTACTTCCATTCCTATTTATTTTTTCATTTTTCTTTTATTATTCATATGTGCATACAAGGCTTGGTTCATTTCTCCCCCCTGCCCCCACCCCCTCCCTTACCACCCGCTCCACCCCCTCCCGCTCCCCCCCCCAATACCCAGCAGAAACTATTTTGCCCTTCTCTCTAATTTTTAGAATGAATCTCAAAAGGGAGTTGGGGCACTATAATAAATGAAGCAGGGTCCTCACACATGGAGCTTCTGTGTGTCTATTAATGGTGAATGCCACAGAGAACAAGAGAGCCATGAAGAAAATATGGAGTATTGGGGTAGAAAAGAGGTACAATTTTACACAAGGAGGTAAAGAAAGCCTTCACCAAAGAACTGGTGTGTGAGCACAGACTGGGAGGAGTGGGTACCGTTAGAGGCAGGGGATGCTGAAGTACATTTCTGGAGAGACTGATACTTAGGATATGGAACTCCTGTTCCAAGCTACAGGGGTTTGACTCGAGGTGTGTTCAGTTCATAGAGCCATAGAGAAGCAAATGCAAAAGTTTTGAGTTTTCTAATTTAAAAAATCTAGGTAAAAATGTTTCTATTAATTATCAGGTGAAGCTTCCAGACCCTGCCCCTGGGACCATCTTCAAGGTGGGGTTCATAGCTCCTAGTGACCCCTCTGTCTCCTCTTCTAGGCTACGAAGAGCTGGACTTCGGATGTCCACTTCCTGTGTACTGCAAAGGTTTTTGGGAACAACGTTCATCTTGTATATGTGGACAATGGGTGTGTCTGCCTTCACCACTCAGTCAGAGGAGCACATAGGTAAGAAGCAAATCCTTTCGCTGGAAAAGACTGACCTGCAGCTTTCCTGGGGAAAACAGTTGACTAGTGAGGTTTTTGTGATTATCAAAAAGCAACGTGAGAATGTTCATTACTTGGTAAGGGGCAGACGCTGCTCCTTGCCTGTTTCTTTTGCTGCAGCCTGGGTGTTGGTCATTTCCACTGAGAAGCAAACCCAAGATGTAGCTCATTTGCCCTTTATGGCACCTTTGAATGTGAACCACACAGTCTGTCAGAACTAAGCTTTTCCACCTGAATTCAGTAGGGTTCTACTTTGAATGTCCACAGATGAAAAATATGGCCAAATTGTAAAACCTTTCTCTTTTGGTCACCATGTGGCCTGATTTAATTGTCCTCACAGAATAGAAATTGGAATTGATAGTAGCCCTCAACTTATCATTTGGGCATTTTGAAGTCATAATAACAGAGGGTGTTCATGGGGACCCTCGGATTTAGGTCACTTTGTTTGGGACATGTAGCATCTTCTTCAACATGCTCTGTGTCCCTCTGCAAGAACCAGCTTCAGTGTGGGATCCTGGGAGGTTTTGTGATCTGGGCAGGTTTGGGACCTAAAGCTTGACTGTCATCTCTGTCCTTCAGTGGCTACAGACAACTGCCAATTTCGCGGCAAGCTTTACAAAACAGAATACCGGATGGAAGGGGAGCCTGTGATTCTGAGGTGCCCCCTGGTATCGCCTTCATTGGAAGCTAATGCCAGCGCCCATACCCTCCTGACCTGGCGTAAAAACAACTCTGCTCAGCTGATCCCAGGAGAAGAGTCAAGGATGTGGATTGAGGATGGCGCTCTGTGGTTTCTGCCTGCCTTGTTGGAGGACTCTGGTACTTACATCTGCACTGTCAGGTAGGCCCTGGAATGGGGCTGGGGTAGTCCAGCTCCTGGCAGAAGGGGCTGGTGTATGGTTTTTCCACTAACAGCTGGATTTCAAACTCCAATGCCCAGTTGAGAATCTACCTTATGTTCTTGCTTCACTGGATGTTTCAAGGCTCCCTCTCTCCTTTCATTTATTTGGTCTTTGCTCAAACATCACCTCTTTGGGGAGGTCTTCCTTAGCCATGTTAGCTGACACTGCACTACTTACCCTGCTGTTATTTTTCTTGATAACCTTTGACTCATCTGATGCATCCCTTTGTGTGTATGTATTTAACATTTGTCTACCCCATCAGTATGTGGAGCAGGCCAGGGACTTGATCTGTTTTCTCACATTGTAGGAAAACAAGAACTGGATATAGAATGCTGAGTGGAATTTTAAGAGTTGTATGGGGTCTTAGGAGTAAATTTATCCAACTGCTATTATATGGATGAGGGAAGCAAACTTGCTTAGAAAGTTCCCCTGGGGGTAGGTGGTGGAGCTGACACTGGAAGCCATAATTCTTGACTAGTTTTCCCTACCTTTTGTAAAATATATATAACATAAAATTTACCATCTTAGCCATTTTAAGTGTATAACTCAGGATCATTAAGTACATTCACATTGTTGGGCAACTATCACCACCATCCATCTCCAGAACTTTCCATCATCCCAAACTGAAATTCTGTTCCCATTAAACAAGAGTTCCCATTCCCTTCCTAACCCCATCTCTTGGCAAACACCATTCTACTTGCTGTTTCTATGCATTTGACTACTCTGGGTATCTCATGTAAGTATCATTGTATTTGTCTTTCTGTGACTGATTTATTTGTAGCATAATTTTGTCAAAGTTTATCCATAGTAGGCATGCGTGAGAATTTCCTTCTTTCTCAAGGCTCAGTATCATTAGTCCATGGTACATATACAACACGTTCTCCTCATTCATCCACGGATGCTGCGTTACTTCTGTCTCTTAGCTATTGTGAATAAGGTCAAATATGAACATAGCTGTGTGAGTATCTATTCAAGTCCCTCTATCCATTTTTTTTGAGTATATTCCCCAAAGATAAACTACTGGATCATATGACAATACTATGTTTACATTTTTGAGGAACTTCCATACTGTCTTCCACAGTGGCTATAACCATTTTACATTCCCACAGTGTTTTATTTCTCTACATCCTTGCCATTGTTTTTAATTTTATGTCCTTATTTTTGTAATAGCCATTCTAATGGTGTGAAATGGCTTTGCATTGTGGTTTTGAGTTGTATTTCTCTAGTGAGTATTGACATTGAGCATCTTTTGATGTACTGCCTGCCATTAGTGTGTCATCTTTGAAGAAATGTTTACCAAGTCCTTTGCCCAATTTAAAAATTGTATTGTTTGGGTTTTTATTTTTGATGAGTTATAGGATTTCTGACAATCCCTTATCAGATGTATGACTTGCAAATATTTTCTCCCATACTGTGTATTTGTTATTCTCTCTGTTTATGGTATCTTTTGGTATACAAAAGGTCTCAATTTTGATTAATTCTAATTTACCTATATTTTCTTTTATTGTCTGTGCTTTTGGTTTCAAGAAATAACTGCCCAATCTAACATCATGAAGCTTTTACCCTATGTTTTTGTCTTAGGAATTTATAGTTTTAGTCCTTGTATTTGGGCCTTTGATATGTTTTGAGTTAATTTTTGAATATGGTGTGAAGTAAGGACTTAGTTTCATGTTTGCATGTGCTATCTAGTTTCCCCAGCATCTTTTGTTGAAAAGACTGTCCTTTTGCCATTGAATGATCTTGGTCTTACTTCTTAAAGATAAAGTGGTGAGCCTTGTGCTGGTGTTCTTAAGTTTCTGGGTTCAGCTCTTCTGAAAGGGTTAATGCAGATCCTTGGCCTGATTGGGAAATAACCTTATTTCTTCAGTTGTCCCATCTTTTCTTCCCCAAGGCTCTGCTTGCTCCATCCACCAACTGGCTTTAGAATGTGTCAAGATTTATAAACTCATTTAAAGAGACACTGTACCCAGGAATATTTACATTTATGAAGTGAGAACCAGAGAAAGTGACATTTTTAGCACAAGGGAATTACTGGTTATGATAAGATTTCTGTTTCAGATATCAGCCCCTGTTCTAGGTGGTGTGTGCATGAGAGAGAGAGAGAGAGAGAGAGAGAGAGAGAGAGAGAGAGAGAGAGAGGAGGGGGAAATAAGGTGGTGGTAATGTATTGTATGTGTGTTTGTGATGTTGAAAATCTTTTCAAATCCAACCTAGCTTGGCATTATGAGCTATATGCCTAGCCCCCGCCAGAAGGAATTTGTCAATGAACTTTGCCTAGGCAGCAGGTAAGCAATCTCCTATTTCCATATCAAGGAAACCTGGATATGTGATTTTGTAATAGCTACAAATGCTGCTTTCCTTCTGTCATCTTTCTCATTCAAGGTAAAACATTCTAATTTTCTCTAAAGAGAACTACTAGGAAATTGTAATAGTGTAGTAGGAAAAATGGAATTTGGAATAAAAAAAAGACATAGATGGAAATCCTAGCGTTTCGCCTTCTCTCTGGTGGTACTTGGGCTTATGACTTGACTTGTATGGGTCTCAGCTTTCTTCCCAGTAGAGAGGTTTGTTGGAGGGTTATGTGAGATCACAGCTGTGAAGGACCTGGTGTAGGGAGAGCCATGGTAGATGATGAATGTATGCATGGAAATGCTCTCTCCTTTCGAAAGCAGTCCATATAACTACTGACATGATGTGGTGTAAACATCAGGGAAAGGTAAGCAGTCATGTTTGTTTTACAGATAGTTTTTACATTGCATTAGAAAAGTATAGCTAACACCCTATTTTATTTTTGTAGTATAAAAGAGTCCTGAGAGCTGAGAGTTCTGAGGTTGAGGGGCAGCAAAAAATCCCATCATGCTGACACACATTTCTTTGCCTGTGGGAAGGTTTACTGGCTGAGCTCTGAGGCTGTTTCAGCCAGCAGTTGCCATGACACTCTGGCATTTGCAGTCATAGGATGCAAGGCTGCCCTGCCCTGGAATTTGTGTAATTGTGCTATCTAGAGCCTGCATGGTCTTTCTGTCACTCAGAGCAGTCAAAGTGATGCTGCTGGCACAAAAGTTCCCCAAATCTCAGTGTCTGGACCAAAGGAAATTAATTACCAGATCAACATGTGAACAGTTTTGTGATTCGATATGTCTAGTAGGCTTGGTTTCCAGAGGTATGGCCCTAATTTGTGGGTTTTCCAAGGACCCTGTTGGGCTTCCAACCTTGATGTGATCTCTTAGTGGCCTTACAGCCTTAAGAAATTAGTTAAGTTTTGTACCTAAATTTCCTCATGAAAATGTTATAACAATAATTCCTACCTCCTAGGGTGGGAGAATAAATGGAATAATATATGCAAAGCACTCCACTTGGGGTCTGGCAAACACCAACTTGCTATGATTAGCTACTGGGATGACTATTTTCCATATGGGCACTGTCCTTTAGTCCTGTTCTCATTTGCAGTTCTTCAACTTGCAGTGAGATTGTGCATTTTTAAGGTGACAGTTAACATTTTGTGCTGCTTTGTGCATAAATTGTTTTTTTAATCTGTTTTCCTTTTTTGAAATCAGATATGAAATATGATACAGATATTGGTGTTAGATATTTGAATTAATTCTTTTTACCTTAAGATAGCAAGCATTTCCCACATGTCTTTCACATATCTTTTTCATATTTTATTGCTTCTTTGGATGTATGTTGTTATACATTTTGCTGTTTGAGTAATTTTTACCCCATCTTTAAAACTCATCCTCATTGTCCTAATTGGTGTGCTGTATCTTAGGTAGCTAAAAACTTAGCTAAGATAGTTATTTTTTTCTATATGTTTTTCTATTTTATTTTATTTTTGGGGTGCTAGGGATTGAACCCAGGCCTTCATGCATGTTCTCCCTCTGAGCTCTCCCTGCAATCCCTTGTTTTTCTACTTTAAAAATTAGTTTTAATGACTGTCATCCATCCATTCCCCTATGCTTCCAGCAAGGTTTTGCCTCTGCTTGTTTCCCAGTTTTAGGGTGTTGCTAGAATTATTGCATTGAGATTATGGGTAGGCCAACAGCAAAAATTTATAGAAAACAAACTCAGCAAGTTAATTCCTTCCATCCAGTATTGCAAAAATCTTTTATAGTTCTTACAGAAAGTTCCCAGCAATTTTCTAAAGCTGGACTTCAGCTGGTAAATGGCTCCTGGGAGATGTAGGAGGAAATTTTCCTTGTATGGAAACAGTGGCTCTGGGGAAGTCTCTATTTAGATTTGGTTCCTTGGACCAAGAAGTTAGAGCATGTGGGAACTGGATTCAAGGAGCTTGGGAACCTGGACGTTTCAAGATCTTTTGAAGAGGACTTGGGATTTCTTCGTGGCCCTTGACGGCATTGGAAATGGGCTTGTGAAAGGTCCTTTGTGAAAAGCACAGGACACATCGCTGCTTCTGTACAATTGTGATGTGATGTTTTTTGCAAAACCTCCAGGGCTTTAAAAGGAACACAATACTAACCAAGAAAATTTAATGGGATTAGGGAAATTATTCTCAGTTTCAATTCATTTTATTTTGCCTTACCATTTATTATCCTTTCACCCCCGCTTTTAAACCAGAAATGCCTCTCACTGTGAAGAACTCAAGATTTTTGAGAATACAGAAGCATCTCTGCCGCTCATCTCATACCTGCAGTTCATAACCCAGTCAACCTCCGGAGTGCTAGTGTGCCCAGACCTGAAGGACTTCCTCTCCCACAAAACTGATGCAAAGATTCAGTGGTACAAGGTACATCTTTACAACACCATGTCATTAAAACATGTTTTACCAGCCACAGAAAAGACACATAATACCCATCTTGAGGATAAAACATCCATTTTTATTGACATATGTACTTATATTTTAAAAATATATTGAGCAATTAAAAGTGGCTGTGAATGGCTGCAATATTCTATTAGTTCTTATGTGGGTTGGGTATGTTTTTCCAAACAGTGCATTGTGAAGACAGAATATAAACTTAATCCAGAGGAAATGACTGTTGAGGAAAATAGCTTTTACTCTGTAATTTGTCTATGAAAATTTAGAAAAACTGTTTTTATAACAACTTTATATACATATTAAAGAAGATTTTTTTCTAAAGCACGTGGCAAGCTTTGGGCTGAAGGAGCAAACATGAACACAAATTTCCCCTTGTCTGGTTGAATAAATATTGACTATCTTAATAAATATAGAGTGAGATCATCAGACATCGCTATGGGACCATGGGCTGACAGATTATAGCCTGGAACCAAGTTGGGCTGCTACCTGCCTTTGAATAACTCATTAGCTAAGGATAGTTTTCACTTTTTTAAAATGTTTGAAGTAAATACTAAAAGAAGAATATTTCGTAACACATGACCATTACCTAAAGTTCAAATTTCAGTGTCCATAAATAAAGTTTTACTGGAACACAGCCACACTCATTTGCTTAGGGATGGTCTGTGTCTGCTTTCACACTGCATGGTTGTGACCTACAGATTGGGAGGTTCTGAGAATATTTCCCATCTGGACCTTTCCTTGAAAGAGTTTTCCAGTCTCTGATATAGACTGTAGACTGATGCTGAGATGTAGAGTTATTTATTTAGTCAAGGATAAGAATTAACCCTTTAATCCATGATAGCTAAGCTGGTTACTGGTATTGTACCTATAAGATATTTGTATGTAATTATATTAGACTATTACATAATATTGGAAACTTTGAGATGATTTTCTCTATAGTCAGCTCCTATGAGTAAGCCAGGCAGCTGTGGATGGCCTTCTCTTTCGGTTTAGAAAACATGCAGGGCTGGGATATAACCCAGTGGTAGAGCACTTGCCTAGCATGCCACAAGGCCCTAGGTCCCATCCCTGAAACAAACTAAAAGATCATGCAGAAGACAAGCAAAAGGTTTTACCTGCAAAGGAAGGAACTAAGGAAACCTGTTCCATCTTTCAACCTTGGGCGAGTTACTTCCCCTCTTGAACATGTTTCTGCTATAAAAAGGCAATTAGTTAATTCCCACTGCCTGGGTTTGTTTTGAAGATTAAACAGAGTGAGTGATGCACCCAGCAGTGTGCTTGACGTGCAAATGGTGCTTACTGAATGTGAAGTACTGTGACAGTACTTCACGATATTTGTCCCTCTGTAATCATGTGAAGCATTACTGAGCACATGCTGGGCCATGCCTGCTCTAACCTCCCTGACAAGCATTCAAACAAACCAGGGACTGTGACCGTCTTCCCTTTAGAGATGACAGGAAACATAGGCATCTACCCAAACTCACACAGCTGGTAGCTGAGGAAGCCAAAACCCTAACCCGTGCCTCACACCACTGGAATAACTGTGGTGCTGGGCCCTGTTTCCATATTTAACTCTTGTGCTAGAAACAATGACATCTCTCCTTTTCATTAAACATATTGCAAAGCAATACTTGGTGAAGGATTTGGCTAACAATTTCAGTTTTGTTTGTGTTTACATCCAGAGTAAGATTATGAAATGATTCAAGGTTGCATTTGGCTATTGCAAACTTTTGATCATCATGGTTATTTTTTGTTTGTTTGCTTGAGACAGGATCTCATTATGTAGCTCAGGCTGGTCTGGAACTCTCCATACCTCTGTTTCAGACATCCTGAGTAGCTGGGATTACAGGTGTGTGCTGCCACACCCAGCTTCACTATGGTTTTGAAAGAGATGTTTTTGAGGTGTGCTCATTAGGGTCGTTTCTTAAATCCTGTTTCAGTTCTTCTATCTTATTGGAGGCTTTGTACTTGAGGGTTCTAGTCTGTAGAACTTTGTGTCCTGTGAGAAGTGTGGACTAATTTCTACTATTTAATTTTTATCTTACAAAATTTTCTTTATTGTAATAACTCCTAAAATTGAATGATTTTCAGGAAATTACTGCAACACCATCTCTTCTGAATATACTGTCCAAATCATTATGACTATTAACAGTGAACTTCGTGGATATTTACCAATGCCAGTAGGAAAGCAGTTAGTCCATAAATATTTTAAGGCTGTTTCTTCAAAGATGTGTCAATCCCTTTTCTTAAGTGTGGTTAAAGTTAAGCAAATATGCTTTAAGTCTTGTGGCTCATAATGTCCAGCCAGTAATTTGTTTATACGTTAACAAATTCTTTTTCCTAAGCTGGATTGATGGTGCATGTCTGTAAACCCAGTATTTGGGAGGCTGACGCAAAAAGATCAAGAGTTTGAGGACAGGGGTGGGCACAGTAGCTCAAGCCTGCAATCCTAGCTACTCAGTTGGCAAAAAGTTTGTGAAACCTCATCTCAACCAATAGTGGGGCATGCTGCTGTGCACCTGTCATCCCGGCTATGCAGGGAAGCACAAATCTTGGTCCAGGTTACCCCAGGCATATAAAATAAGAACCTATTTCAAAAATAAGGGCTGGTAGACTGTTTGGAGTGGTAGAGCTTCTGCCTAGCAATCACAAAGCCCTGAGTTCAGGCCCAAGTACTGCCTGAGCTACATAGAGAGATGCTGTTTTTAAATAAAATTCCTTTTCCTGAAAATACTGTTTAAAGTATGCCATAAACACAAAATAGGCAAAGTAAATATCAGAGCAATTCTTGGATTGCAAATTCAATAGTGGTTGATAATGATGACGCAATTGCTAGCTATTGAGATATATATTGGTCTATAATATAATTTTAAAAAACATTTTTCCTTAAGGATTCTGTCCCTTTGGCTCAAGATAATGAGAAATTTCAAAGTGTGGGTGGCACCACGCACTTACTCCTAACAGATGCTTCCATGGAGGATGCAGGCTACTACAAATGTACTATGACATTTGCCCACAGGGGCAGGGAATACAACGTCACTAGGAATATTGAGCTCCTGATCAAAAGTAAGTATTTACCAAGAGGTACTTATCCTTTCTGGTTCAATAGTAAGTGTGATAAGAACAAATTTAGTGTCACATTGAAGCCCCTGGATGGTTTGAAGGGCAAAGGAAAATGGATACATCAACTGTTCTGAAGGCTACTATGCCATGTGGGTGACACACTGAAAGGTATAAATCACAGTGTCTTTATGAGGAAAGGTGAATAAACACCTGGGCAGTTAAGGATCTAAAACAGAAGCTAAAACTTACCACTACAGGGGACAAAACAATGGTTTACTTGGAAGGCCCCTTTGGAAAGTCTATACCTATGAAGGGTTACCACCTAGAGGGCTGGTGATCAGAACATGGTGGCCATAACTTTATGGATAATTCTAGAATGGTAGGATTTTATTGGATTTTTTAACCAGAAGGCTATGCATTGGTACGTTCAGTGGTAATTACCCTGTGTTTTTTTTTTTTTTTTTGTCTTCCTTAAGGTGTGTCTTGTTGGTCTTGCTACCATTTATCTGATATACTTGAGACTAGAAGTCTTTTAAGATTTGGTATTTTTTCCAACTTTTGGATAATTTCCATATACATAATGAGATATCCTGAGGATGAGATCCAAGTCTAAATATGAAATTAATTTTTCAGATATATTTTATACACATAAGCTGAAGGTAATTTATGCAATATTTTATACTTTTATTTCATTTTATTTTTTGAAACAGATTCTTGTTATGTACCTCAGGCTGGTTTCTAACTTGTGATTCTTCAGCCTCAGCCTCCTGAGTGCTAGAATTACAAATATGTGTCACCATGCCCAGTCATGTCATATTTTAAATAATTCGATGTATTAAACAAAGTTTCATGGTGTGGAATTTTCCACTTGTGGCATCAGATTGGTGCTCAAAAAATTTGAGATATTAGAGTACTTCAGATTTTGAATTTTCAGAGTAGGGATGCTAAAACTGTACCGAGATCAATTATACTTGAAAATTCTGTCGTGAACAGGGTTGGCTAGTATTTAACATTTTTTCAACATTTATTCCATCCCTCCTATGTGCTGGATAAGGAAGTAGGGGCAGGGGGCATGAAAGTGTGGAAGTCCTGGGCTCTTTCCTGGAAACTACGCCATATTTCTTACATTTATAGCTAACACATTTGGAGTCTTTCAAGGAGACTTTAGAGAGTTTTGGAAAAAAGTAGTAAGTTTAAATAATTGGTCTATGAAGGAAAAGACTTTTCTTACAGAGAATTCAGAGGTTCACTTTTATTATAAGTGACATCATATTAACAACTTGTTTTCTTACAGGATGGTGACAGACTTCATGTGCCTTTCAGCAAGGCCCCATCTTATTTGTGTGATACTACATAGGAACAGTAGGGGGCAGCCAACCTACATATTATACAGCAGCTCAGTGGTTCTCAAAGCCTGGTCCTCACACAACAGAAACTGCCAAAACTGTGTACACATGCATACATGTGCAAACTCTCAAACCCGGGCATTGAGGGGATTCAATCTTGTTTCACAGCCCAGCCCAAGTGATGTTGGTCACCCTCAAGTTTGAGAACCACTGACAGAATCCTGGATGCTTGTCTCTCTTCCTTTCTTGCCCCAGTCACTGTCCAGTAGCAGTGTGACTTTGAGGGGTCCACAGTGGAGGTGCCAGCTGCTCCCCAGGCTATACTGTCATGTTGCCTAGTGCTAACTCATGAGGATTTCAAAATGCTCCTTAGTAGAGGAAATGGGGCTGATGAGGCCAGATGAGGGACAGTGTCCAACCCTTCACTCACCCTCCAGGTGCCCTTTTTGCCCCACTTCAAATGCCCAGTTTGTTCAAGCTAGTTCTAATTCTTTGGCTGTCTATCTCTGCCTCCCCAAGGAGTTTATCTCCTTAGTTAGCATTAGTGGCCAAGGATGGGTATTTATTACCCAGTAAGAGATTAGCCTTACAAACAGGTGACTCTCCAGCCCCTGTGCCTGTTCTTAAAGAAGTGAACTCAGTGGTAGGAATTTTGGAGGTGTGGGAGAGATCTTTGGGCAAAATCTAGCCTGTGGATAACATTAATGTGCATTCCGGAAGCCTGAGAGGGGAAGGGCTAATTGTTTATCACAGAGTAAAGAACAAAGACCATCTGTCAGAGGAATGTGTGACTGTGGCCTCTTCCAGTAATGTCTCTGCTGGGAAAAGCACTGGCCAAAGATGCTCAATTTTGTGGCGAGCTCAATTCTGTTTCCTTTGCCAGACAAAGGCTGATTCTCACAATGACTGGCCACACCGTGAAGGATAACTTAATTAACCAAACAATGGAACCTGAATCTCAGCTTGAAATGAAGGCTTCCCTAATGGAATCTCTTTTCCTTACAACTTTCTCAGAAAGAAAAGAGGAAACCATTCCTGTGATTATTTCTCCCCTTGAGACCATACCAGCATCTCTTGGTAAGACCTGCAAGGATTGTACTTGCATGCCTGCGGCCATGCCTGAAATCCCAGTGTCAAGGGCTTGGAGCCCTGTGACCTCACCACACTTGCTCCTTTGGGTGGAAACCATATAACCCCAGTGGGTGGGGTTGAGAGGACAAATACAAGGAAACATTTTTCCTTCCCAAATATTGTTAGGAATAGCATTATTAGAAAGCAAGGATACTTTGCTTCATTAAAGCTCTATCTATAAAAATCTAAATACAACAAGGTGAATATTTGAGTAGCAGTTCTTAACCACAATAAACCATCAATAACATGAATCCCTTACATAGTCACCGCCTTCAGTAGATTTAAAATAATCAATGTTACCAAAACTTGGCTAATGTTTAACATCTCTTTGCGACTCCATTTGAAAAAGTATTAAATGGCCAGAGACAGTTTCTAGTTACCAAAATAGCTGGTCAGTTGCCTGAATGGTATGATGAAAGTAACCAGCCGAGTTTCCTACTTTTCACCCCATTTTGAACAGTCCACAGTTGTGGTTAGTAAGCGCACATGAGTGGACTATACTAATGGCCTTCTGATGCTCATGGTAGGAAAGGAACTGCTGTGTACTAAGCATTTACTATGTCTAATGGGATACTAATAATGATTGTGATTGAGGCCAGGGGGTCTGGTATTATCACACTGCCAACTGTAGAGGGCGCGATCCTTAGAAAATGAAGTTGGTTTTTAAAGGGGTAATTTTAATGAGAGCCGTCTTGGAATGGAGAGTTCCCTGGGGAAATGTTAGAGCTGAGACTAGTAATGGGCAAAGAGAAAAAAAAAATCACACACTGACCTGGATTTTTTGAAGTAACTAGAATCAATTGTGGAAAAAGGCAACCCTTGAGTTCAGAACACCCCAGAAGGGGGTGGAAGTGGTGGGGGGAGAATGCCCTGTAGGAACTGTGTGACCTTGGTGAAGCCATTCAGATTCATGTGCTTCTGGGTTGTCACCTCTGTGAAGACTAGTTGAAGGTATTGGAGGCATTTAGCAAATATTAAAGTTCTATGTGAACAGAGTTATCTGAGGAAACTAAATTTCCTTGTAACAAAAGGACTGGCCAATGAGGAGGAGGGACCCCTGGCTCAGGCTTGCTGAGGGATGTGAGGAGCAGGAGTGACTTTTTCCATGCTGGTTTCTGACAGTTGATGTGTTATGTCTTACTGTACACAGGGTCAAGGCTGACAGTTCCATGTAAAGTATTTCTGGGAGCAAACACAGACCCCACCATCTTTGTGTGCTGGATGGCTAACAATACTCTGGTACCATTTACCTACCCAGGAGGCCGTTTGACTCAGGGGATGAACTGGTAAGTGGGTGAGGGGCTTCTATTATGAGACCTCTGTATGCTTTATTCTTCCTTTTGGAGACAAAGTCACATTCAACTTATCAAGATAATCATACACACCATAGTAAAAGTAACCATTTTAAAATTGCAAGCTGTTGGATTTTTAGAATTTTAAATATTGAATTTTGCTAAACAACTATCTAGAGAATCAAGATAGATTCATATAGATCTTTCTCTAGATCTATATGAGTTGAGTTGTAGTTGACTCATCGGATGCTGCACTTTATGGATGTTCAGTCATTTATTTCTTGATTTTTGTAGGTTAAAAATACTTTGGAGTTCACACATCTCCATTCCCTACTCTGCCACCTCACTCTCAAACATTTTCATAAATCCTCACAAAGACTCTGAGACCTAGTCACAGTGTCTGTACTAGTGCCTCTTCCGTTTGTTAGGGACTTGTGGGTTGTAACGTTTTCTAAAAAAGATTGATAATAAGCAAGAGTTCAGGTCTTGTAAACATCTGTCTCTTGACAATATTTTATTACTGTGAAACTAGATCAGATCTTGTAAATGGAAGCCATTTGTATATGAGGAAGACCACTCAACATTTCAACTTATAAAGTGATTTTTAAATTACAATTTTGATACTTTGAGTCATCCTGAACTCTTGCTCCTTAGTCTTTGTCTTCTTTGAAAGACTTACCAAAAAAGTTCTTTCTGGGGCCAGTCTGGCAAAGACTCTATCTGAAAAACATACTGAAAAAAGCAAAAAAAACCCCAAGGGTATAGCTCAAGTGGTAGAGCATTTGCAACCATGAGGTTCTAAGTTCAATTCTCAGTACTGCAAAACAAGCAAACAAACAAAAAACAACAAACAAGTTCTTTCTAGTTGCAAGTTAATGAATAAAAATAGTGTGGTTAGCATAATTATTTCATTGCAAGTCTTTGCTGCAGAGGACTTAGTCACATCAGTCAGCTTACTCATACTATCATTTAGTTAAAGGGACGTATTTATATATGTTAATAAATAAAAATAGTATTAGTGGATCTACTCCAGGATGTTTTTATTCATACAAATGGATAGTAGTGAAAGGTGTTCACCTTCTGCTCACATTTCAAACGGAGGCTTCCCTGATAAGATCCCTTCCCTTGGTCTGCAGCTCTTTGACTTGGACTTGAGCTTCTAGAGTGAGAAATAGCTGTAGAAATGAGAGGAAAGCACCAGGGAGGGCAGAACTCCCGGAAACTCCTTACTCTTCAATGTATAAAGAAATTGTTGGTGAGAGGGTCAAATTTCCCCAAACTTGATTTTTCTGTTTCTGCTACAGGATCTTTGTTCATTAACAGCCTTTAAAATACGAAAATTTCCATCCAAATGAAAGTGAGAGTGCAAGTTCTTTTTGTAACAGATTCCTGTTACAATGAGCACCACTTTCATTGACACTTGGCTTTCCTTCAGGCTTAGAAATTCTCCCAAATGAATAGCAAATATAATGGGAAGTTCTAACTTCATGAAACTAGAAATCAGATGAAACACAACAAATCATTCTAGTTTGAGAATGTTTGACTGCCTACATTGTGAAAGATAAGCTTACATTGGATCCATCACACTTAAGTGAATGTTTTCTCACTCAGGGAATATTCAGAAAATAATGAGAACTACATTGAAGCACCATTGATTTTTGATCCAGTCACAAAGGAGGATTTGAATACAGATTTTAAATGCATTGTCTTTAATCAACGGACTTCTCAGACACAATATGCCACACTCAAAGAAGGTATGTATTTTGTAGATGCTAAAAGGGAAAACGGGCTAGGAATGTAGCTCAGTGATAGAGCACTCGCCTAGCTTGCCTAAAGCCCTAGGTTTGCTCCCCAGCACTTAAATACTCGAACCAAAAAATACTGTCTTTTGAAAGGAAAAACAACTTGTTGAGAGTTCTATGGATGTGAGACAAAGCTATGTGTTCTATAGATGATTTTTTTTCTGGAGCACTGAAACCAAATCTGCCAGGTTTTAAAGGTTGTTTTTGGTAGGTTGTAGGCTGGACATTGGGAAATTATCCTCACATAAAAAAATTAAATTGTAAGCTGAGTTTTAGACAACAGAAAATGGCTCTGTGATGAACTTTTAAATAGCCTGAGTCCTCGCGTTGTCCTGCCTTGGATCACCAAGGTCTGCTGTACTCACATGACCTCTGGAAGAGGCTGGGTCGTTTTCTATCTTAAAATTGAAAAACTCCATCCTGCAAGAGCTGGGGACTGGAAGATACCAAGGTTCAGGGCAGCTTTAATGTCAAAGCCACTAAACAACAGGAAGTAAGTGCAAGTCTGTAGCACCCAATGTCCACTTAATGACATTTCAAAAAGAAAAACACAACTTTTGGATGGAGTTGATTTTGGCTCTCTGTTTAAATGTTGAGCAGGAAAGGGAGGTGGAGCTGATGTAGTCTCTGCTGACAATCCCAACAGCCCACAAGCCAAGGTGATTCTCACCAGGAATCCCAGCAATGTTTCCAAGCAGGCTTGCAAAAATCAGCTAAACACTACTGGCTCCACATCTGCACAATTTGCGAGAGAAGCGACTGTAGACATACTTTAAATTAGAAAGCTGATGATCTGGCCAGGCCTTAGGACAGCGATTGACACGCAGAACAGCTTTTCTTCAACTGGGCTCCTATGCCAGCAACATCACAAACCTGAGCCACTAGTTGAAAATGCAGATCCTGAGACTTACCCTCAACACCTCCAGACAAACCCTCCTAAGGGGCAGCTGAAGACTTCACCTTCCCAGCTCCTGCCACACTAAAATTGAGAACTGGGGCCTGTGTGCAAAGGGTGGTGTTGCAGACTCCTTCCATGACCTGCAGGCTAGGGGAGAGACAGTGAGGTGGGGGCTGTACAGATTTGGAAATTCAGGTGCTAAAAAAAGCAGTTTCCACATTTGGGGGATCAGATTAGTGAGCCAAAAGAACCCATGCCTTGTCTGATTCTGGCACTGGAAACTTTTGAAATTTTCTGTCAATGGAGCCCTGTTGACATGTCCCTTCTTGGGCTGGGCATGACCGATCCACGAGCGCACAAGCTGAGCCCTTCACTGGGATGGACAGACACATTCAACTAGCTGCTCAGGAAATTACAGTCTGTGTATTCATAATCTGTGTGGATTTATGAGGCATAAGAATCCTCTGGAAAATCGAGCTGAAATTGTGGTGATTCCTGGATGCCTATACTGACTATGTCAAATAGTAACTTAAAAATGTGAAATTCCACACACTTGTCATTCCAGCACTCTGAGGCTGAGGCTGGAGGACTCGAGGCCAGCCTGGGTTACATAGAGATCCTGTCTCCAAAAACAAAAAGAAGAAGAAAAAATTCTGGCTTGATCAACAATATGTCAAATAATGCTTGAATCTCACATTTTCTTTTAACTTTTTTTATTCACAATCTCTTCACCCATTTCCATAATACAGAGATACCTAGGAATAGAATACACAATAGCTAGGTCTAAGCAGTAATCTTGGCATCCCAAGTCAAAGTTTGTTCTTTCCTTTTGTTTCTTTATTTAATTCTCGTGATGTCCTTGCTCATTGGAAGAGGGCAGAATGTTCCCTGGCTAAGTCACAGATGAAAACAGACAGTATTTTAAATGCATACTATGCACAGTTGGAACAGTTAGTCCCTCATCACCTGCCCCCTGCTTTGTGATGTTCCTGCTAACAGATTTTGTCCTGCCTTACTTGTTTCTCTTATGTCACAGACATCATTCTCAGATATCCCTGATTTTGGTGTAAGGAGCATTTCTGGACAACAATGCACATTCATCAGGAAAAACAAATTTCAGTTTGTCTCTTCTTTATAAACCTATGCTGCCCTATTTTGCATTGAGAGACTGTGACATCCTGACACGCCTCTTTTTCTCCCCACAGCCTCCTCTACATTCTCCTGGCAAATTGCACTGGCCCCTCTGCCTCTGGTCATCTTGGTTTTGGGGGGAATATGGATATACAAGTGGTATAAACACAGAGCTGAAAAGCATATGGTGTGACCACCCTAAGGACTGGCCACCAAGACCTTCTACCCTACCCAAATACAATAAAGGAAATGGAGCAATGCAAGCTTAATTGGTGTCTATTCTTATGGAAGTTGCTGTGCTATTCGGAGGGGCTCTTTTTTTCTTAGTTTTTTTTTTTTTTTAACAAAGTCCCTCTGTTTGTAGCGAAGGAATGAAATCTTATATTGCATTTTTTTCCTGAAAACCAATTGATGGGAGCAAATGTACACACAAGTGTATATAAGTAGCTCTTTGTCACTTGTGACTTATTCAAAAGAATGAGGTTGGCCTGGGATAGGGGTGTGACTCAGTGGTAGAGTGGCTGTCTAGCATGTGTGAGTTCCTGGGTTCCATCCCCAGTACCAACAAACAAACAAACAAACAAAAATCCAACAAAAACAAAAAAATAAGGTATCTTTAGGCCTCAATAAGAGAGAAAGCTTCTAAATGACTTGAAGTTCATCCATCATTTAACAAAACTGTGTTAGAAGTTTGTTGGCTGAACTCTAAGGAAGGTTTTGGAGATACAAAGATCATTAAGTCATAGTTTGCCTTTCAAGAAGGGTAAATTTCATCTGAATTCTGGAAAGGATGATTTAGAAATTCCAATACAAAAGAATCAGCAAAAATTGGTGAATTCTGTGCCTGGTGTCGGTGGCTCACGCCTATAGTCCCAGCTACTCAGGAGGCAGCGATCAGGAGGATCATGGTTCAAAGCCAGCCTGGGCAAATAGTTCATGAGACCCTATCTTGAAAAAACCCTTCACAAAAAGGGCTGGCAGAGTGGCTCAAGTTGTAAGCCCTGAGTTCAAACCCCAGTCAGAAAAAAAATTGGTGAATTCGTTGGGAAGGGTGAGCCAAAAATAGCAATTAAGATAGAGTTAGGACCATCAGAAAAATAGGCACATAGGAATCTATTAGTCAATGGAAAAGTAGATCAACTTCCTAACAGCACTGTAAATATGAAGAGAAGGTAAGGACACTGACACAATTGTAAATGAATTGGAAAAGTATAATCAGAGCCTCTTTTATATCACATACATAAACACATCCAGATGGATAAATGGGTTTAAGTACAACAAAATCAACTGGCAGGAAAATTAGATCAGTCCCCCATCTACTTATTTAGGCACCTGATCAAATGTGCTCTTCTCAGAGGTCTTTCCACACCTTTCTGTCCCCTCAGTCTGCTTGGTGCCATGGCAGGTTTTATCATCACAGACCTTCCATTACATTTGTTTGTTTTCTGTGTTCCCCACCTGAGTGGAAGATCCATGAGGGCAGAGGTACCACTTTGATCACAATTGTCCTCCCAATACTTAGAAGCAGGAATTTAATAAATATTTGCAGACTAGATGAAAACAGAATGAGCTCTTTCTTGTTCACTACCAACAACAGAATTGCAAGAGTAGAAGGGGATCAGGAACTAGAGAAAAGGTCAGTTTGAGAAGAATCAACTTAGAATGTAACACATTTGTATATGGAAGCAATTCGAGGACTCTCCCTGTATAGCTATCCTTATCTCAACTAGCAAAAATGCTTTGTCCTTCTTACTATTGTTTATACTCTCTCTTCAACAAAATTAGAGATAAGGACAGAACAGTTTCTGCCTGGAAGCGAAAGGATGGGGGGAGAGGGGGAGGGGTGGGGGTAGGGGGAGAAATGACCCAAACATTGTATGCACATATGAATAAACAAAAAAAAAGATATAAGTAAAAAAAAAAGTAGAGACTATTTACTTAATTATGCTATAATTTCTGTATAATAAAGTGATAAAAATATAATTTGAAGGAAATTGTGCCTAACATAATAGAATTAATAACTCAAGCATATAGAATTACCTAAAGTTTTTAGAAAGGTATGCATCTCAGTCTATTTGGACTATTATAACAAAATACCACAAACTGGGCAGCTTATAAAGAACAGAAATTCATTTCTTACAGTTTTGGAGGCTGAGAAGTCAAGCCACTAGCAGCTTTAGTGTCTGGTTAGGGCTGCTTCCTGGCTCACAGACAGCTATCCTCATGACCCAGTTACCTCTCAATGCCCCTCACCTACCAATCCCATCCCATTGGGGGTTGGAGTTTCAGCTTATGAGTTTTACAAAAACACAAATTGTCTAATAGCATCAACTCTCTAATATGTGTAAGAATATATGTGGGAACCCATGGAAAGGGAAATCAGAGTTGTAAAATAAAAGAACTTTGAGATACCAGTGCACTAGCACTTTATCAAGTGTTAAAGAGTGAGGTCAAGGTTGCTAGGAAATAATCACTCTCACACCCTAATTATTCCACTGACATTTTGACCCTGAGTAGCAAATACACAGCAAGCCAGTGGGGTCCTGGGGCCAACTTGCACCTACTAACAAGAGTCAAGAGTTTGTATATCTCTTCCCAGCTCTGACTGTTCAGTGATGTCACGACAAGAGGGAAAGCAAGTTTGAGATGGAAGGACTTGGCAAGGACATCACAGATGTGGGTACTTCTCCCCTCTGCACCTGTGGCTTGGATGCCATGTGATATCTTCTTCCTTCCTGGGACTTCTCTAGGGCTCTTTGAGTTCCCCACCAGCAGATTCTGGCAGTGTCAGCAATGACCCAGAAAAGAAGCTGACTGCAGCCAGAAGGAACCGCCAACAACTCTTTCCCAGCATAGTCTGTAAGGTGTGGGCCCATGGAGTTAGAAAGAGCATAAGATGGCAGGAGAAGCTTGAACACTGAATTTGTGCTCATATGAAGGAATCACCATAATGTGGGGATAGCTACATCAAAAAAAAAAAAAGAGTTGTTATCTTCCTAAGAGACATACTGAATTATTTATGGGATGGTATGTTAAGTTTGCTTCAAAATTATCCAGTGCTGGGTGGGAGAATAGATGAAATAAGGAAATGAGATTGGCCACATGTTGATGATTTTTGACACTGATGATGTCTACACTGCATTTTATTATACCATTCTTTGGACTTCTGTATATATATCTGAAAATGTCCATAATAAGCGGAAATGCAAGGTAGGGACAGCCCAAATACCCAGCAGGCAAGAGAATGGGTGCATAAATGGTGGTAAAATAGCACAGTGGCTTTGTCCAGTGGTAGAATAAATAAATTATTACAATAAGTAAACTACATGCAACAATATGGAAACATATCCTTGAGTAAATAATCCCCAGAAATCATACCATGGTGCCCAAGATGCACTTTTGTAGTGAAAAACAACTAACACTAAACTTTCTCCCTCTCCCTCTCTCTTTCACACACACACACACACACACACACGTACGCATATATCTATAATTAAAATGTATATGCTCCCTTTTTTTTGGTGGTAATGGGGTCTGAACTCAGGGCCTCATGCTTGCCAGGCAGGTGCTCTTCTGCTTGAGACATACCCCCAATGTCATGTACATGCCTTAAATATAAATGTGTGTGTGTGTGTGTGTGTGTGTGTGTGTATGGATAGTGTTTATGTCAGGAAACACATGACGGACAAGGGTTGGTGTGGGTTAGGAAGATGTAAGTTTCATTAACTTCTAGATCTCATGTTTGGTAGTGGATTATCATTGTTTAACTTATAAAATGAACACTTTTTTTTTTCATCAGGCATGTCTGATTTATTTTCTTTTAGGTAATGTTTTTTGGAAAATTACATTTTCAAAGAATCAGCCCTTACAAACAGATAATCTTTCCAAAAATAAAATCCAGTATCTAGACTCCTAAAACTTACACAGGCAGATTGAAATGTCTGATGGTCGGCCAGGTGTGTCATGCTCAAGCAAGTTTCACGTCACACACAGTCAGCTACAGCTAATTTCAGCAGCAAATCCAAGCCCTACAGAGCACTACAGACAACAGGTGCTGCTCTCGGCTGGGCTGACAACTGTCTTATTGCTAAAGTATACATGCTTTCTTTGGCAACTTTATCAATTTAACACCTCAGGACAGCTATAAAGGTTTGGGTTAACTCAGTACTTAAATTATCATTATAATTATTTGAATGTAATTTCTAAGATGCTAGAATAAGAAAGCCTCCCAAAACATGCCTAATGCCCCCCAAAAACCCCACAAAATCCTGCTAAATAGTCACTACAAAAAGCTTTTCAGTTTTATACACAAGTTCATAATTCAACTCAAATTCACCACTGAAAACATTACAAAGTTAGATCCAATTCTCCACCATATCTTCTGTGATAAAGGACAAAAAACAACATCTGGGTACCTGCCAACTTTTCTGAAAGGCTTTTTCATATAAATTCAAAATGGCCTAAAGGTGGCCAAAACTTAATAGGAATTTTCACTGAAATACTTTAAAACTTATACTTAAATACTGGTAGCTTACTAATTTTTAATTTTTGTTCCATGGAATAATACTATTTTGGAGGCTTGGCGCAATATGACCAAGAAATTTAAACAGGAAGCTCCAAGTCTATAAGTTTAACTAAGAAATCTTTTCTCTCTCTATAAAGAAATCCCCAACTTAAATGGCGTCCACTAAAAAATTATCACTCCAGAATTCACATACAGTAAATTAAAACAAGTATGACAGAAAGTGTGAAATATATTCATGTAACACATAAGCAACAAAGGTCAGTCAGCAAAAAGTTCAACTGTGCATACACTGCCAGCACTCGTGTGCACGCTTTCGGAACAGTGAGAGTGACTCGTCCGGGTAATTTTATATACAGCTGTGTACAGTATAAAACAGTACAACTAAAAACACGTCTATGCAAAAGCCACCATGAAGTCCAATGAAGCACTAAGTAACAGTCTCAGGAGCGGGTCTGAGTTCTTAGCAGAGCAGCTGCCTGGCGTGGCTCTAAGAGACGCCCTCTTCCTGATGGATCATTTCTGTTTTAACTGAAAACACATCTGCCAGCATATGTTTTGGAATCTCTGAGCCCCGGACTTTGAGGGCAGAACAAGCATGCTCTACTTTGGCCAGACTCTCTTTCAACGTGTACAGCTTCTTGGAAATCTCATTAGGCCCCGTGTTGCCAATGAAAAAGAACCCATCACACACCTGGCGTAAAAACTGGCTCACTTCAAAGGGGGTGTCGATGTCCTGTTCCCCACACTGTTAATACATGTACGCA